TACCCTGCGGTGAGTAAACAACCAGGAGCATCATGGGTAAGAAAGGTTGGCAAACACCTCGCGGGATTGACCTACTAATCTCAAAGCACACACGTCTCCCAATCAGTTATCAATATCTGAACTTGAAAATAATGACAAGCTCTCTTCAATAATAAAAGAAGCACTTTTGTTTCAATTTATTAAAATAAAAATCTGGTGCTGTAGAGTGTAATCCTGACATGGAGGATGGGGACTGCGTGTTAATGACCTCTGCTCTCATCCAGACCTTGTGGCCTTTAGTAATCCTTAGTGCATTGTGGGCCGCCCACAGAACACATCTCTCTGTAAACAGATTAAAGAGATTAACCTAAACCCAGCCAGAGCCACAAGATGGACACACACACCTCTGCCGGCACCCTCACAGCTGCAACAGACTGAAGGCAATGGACAAAGTGTTGTTTTTACATTTACCTTTGTTGGCAAATGAAACAACTGAGATGTAGATGTGTTGATAAACTGTAGACAGGGTTCACACAAGGTGCTTGAATTTTGAGGGAAGAATCAGAAAATTCTCCTGTCAAACAACAAGTGGTTTCAATCCTTTTAACACTGGGGGTCTGATCAGCCCGTCCTGACTCCCCGCCAGATCAGCAAACTTTCTGTTGCTGCCGTCTCCAGAGCCATTCTCCTCGCAGTAATCGGTCAGTTAAACACCTGCCCTGTTATCATGAGCTAACATCCAACAACAGGCTGTTAAATGGTCCCAGACTGTCGGTAAGCCATTAGGTAACGTTAGCCGTGTGATGCTAACAGCTTGCCCTGTCAGTGTGTGCATATGGATGGGTGGACTCTCACGACTGTCCCCGATGCGGAGCCCATGCTCCCACAGTAGCACCTACAATCCATACAGCCTGTGGTGTGTTGAAGATAAGCATGGTGTATTTGAGAGTTGGCAGTCCAAAACATCGAAAGTTTGGCTGTACCACACGCCACTCCATTCACATTATGGGCTTCAAATGAAGTACTCTAATGGTATCACTGTAAGGTTACTGGTGTTGGTACTGGTATTGTAGATTTTCAAATAATACCCAGCCCTGTTGATCACATCTTCCTTTTTTTTAATTAGATTTGAAAATTAATGATTTTCTTTTGGTGAAGTCTTTGAGAATAAAAAATGCTGATTGTAAAAAGTACTTGAAAGTCCTTAAATTCCATTTTGTAATGTCTGTATGAACCCTTTGTAGTGGTGTGGGTAGACTTTGGACGGAGCCAGACTAGCTGTTTCTTCTGTTTCCTTTCTTTACTCAACTCTTGGAAACAAACAACCTTTGTTAAAACCAACTTTCTCTCCTCCCCCTCCCTTTCTCTGTCTCCAGATTTCGATAGTGAGCACAGACGACGATTTATCATGATCGTTTTTGTTTTTACGGCAACCCGGAGCGTTGCGTGGTGCCACCTCGTTCCCATGCGCCGCCGGTTGTCCGTAGCAGCAGCAGCAGCAGCCCTTACAGTACGACCACATGCCTTCTGAAGTGCATTATGTTATTATCTGTGGAGAGGATGACTTGAGGAAATGTTATTTATTATGTGAATACTACAATGAATTATGTGTCCATAACTCTTTTCACTCAATGCGTCCAAAGTGTTAAGGATTTTTTTTTTTTTTTTTTTTTTTTT